ACTCCGCCCCGCCGCCCGCCCTGGCCCAGCTTCTCACGAAGTTGCCCGGCGCTCGCCGGGGGATCCGCGGGGTGGATTCCGCGTCCTGACCGTGGAGAGCGCGGTGACCCGGGACAGGGGGGTGGGGGGCGGGGTTCCCCATTCTCCCGCTCCCCCTGTCCCCAGCACAGACCCCGGAGCGCTGCGGGCATCTCCTGGACACTTCATTGCCCAGATGACAAGTTTCTGTGGTGTAAATTTTCCTAGCTGGAATGTTCTCCATAATCACTATTTCTGCGAATCAGTTTCTTTTTTCTTTTTTGAGCCACTCCCCCTTTGATCACTAATTACTTGGCATTGAGAAATCGGGTGCTGAATTCTGCCACCAGCTTAGTCGTATCTTTTGGTGGGCAGTTGGTTTAGGATCTTGATTTCTTCACAGATGTTCAAACAAATGGACAAAATCAGACGATCTGCTCTAAAATTCTGACCCTAGCCTAATCTGTAAGTTGGTATATAGGGTAACTCAGGTGACTGCTAAGATATCCAGATAAAGCTTCGTTTTTGTCTTTGTTTTGTTTTTCGGTCGATTGGTTAATTGAATAATTTACTACTTTTTCCCCTTTCTGGAGCTGCTGTGTGGTGTGTTGTAGGCTTGATTTCCTATCACACAAAATTTGAAAAATGCCACTCAATAAAACGGTGACTTCTTTACTCTGTGTCAAATAGACACATCTCTGTGACTCCATTCTTGTGTTTGACTTCATACTCTTCTTAATCTTCAGAAATGCTAACGATAACTCGTGATAGAGAGCTACTTTTCATCTTGGCTTTTCTGAAACTGTAAAATTGACCATATTCTACTTCCACTTAACAGATTCAAGCACCTACTGGCTAGGTTCACTCTATCTCCTTGATTTATATTGTTGAAGAAAAGGGAAATATTAGAAAACTGGAGAATTTAAAACCAAGTGATATTTAAAAGCCTTGAAATCTTTAGGCCTTTCCCGAGTAAATGAAATTTCTAAATTTTACCTGATCAAAAGCACAATGCTCTGTCCCCTCAGATAACAAAAAATATCAATCATTCCTGGCCTTTGTCATTAATGAACAGATTTCTTTGGTGATGTGAGAGAAATACTTATTCAGAAACTTAGCTGAGTTCCAGTGACTCATGCTTATAATCCTAGTTACTCAGGAGGCTGAGATCTGAGGGTCACAGTTTGAAGTCAGTCCTGGTAGAAAAATCCTGTGTGATTCTTATCCCCAATTAACCACTCAAAAACCAGAAGTGGAACTGTGGCTCAAAGTGGTAGAGCAATATCCTTCAGCAGAAGAGCTCAGAGACATCGTCCAGGCCCTGAGTTCAAAAAGCTAAACTAAGAGACAGTGCCCAGGGCTCTGACTTCAAACACACACACAGAGTTCTGACTTCAAACACAAAACACCTCCCACTCTCACCCCCCTCTCAGAGGGAAGAGCTGAAGAGCTGACTGTATAGTTGATTTTAGTCAAAGAAAAAGACCCTCCCTGGCTGGAATGTGGCTTAGTGGTAGAGTGCTTATCTAGCATGCATGAAGCCCTGGGTTTGATTCCTTAGAACTACATAAACAGAGAAAGCAGACCTGCAGCTGTGGCTCCAAGTGGTAGATAACTAGCCTTGAGCACAGAGAGGCTTGGGGACAGAGCCTAGGCCTTGAGTTCATGCCCCCCTCCAAAAGAAAAAAAAAGACCATCACATATACCAGGTGCAGGGACAGAGTGGGCCCATTGTTCGATCTATTGTTTTACCTGCTCCCAGGAATCCCTCTTTGTGATCACTGTTAATTAACTCCTCTTCCACCTTGTGTTGCCTTGTCACAATCCTAGTGAGCAAGGTAATGGGAGCCAAGGGTTCTTGGTTCTTTGCCATTTGCTTTCTGTGTGATCTGGCAACAGCTTTCTATTTTTTCTTTTCCACAGATTAGTAACTCTTACCTACCTCAGAGGGGCTAGAGTGACCAGGGAATTAGTTCCTGTAGAAGGAATGAGCTTTATATGTTAACCTTTAGTCAGAACTTACAAGACACATGTCTTTTAGTAGACAGATTAACCTGCTTAGTTATCGTGTTTTCCCTGTATACTGTAACCTAATTCTTTGAATTTCCCCGGTGTCAATTTTCCAGGGAGCTCAAAGTACTTCCCACATGCTATTCCATTAGTCCCTGTATGAATTAAAATAGGGCCAATGCCTGCTTTTGTTACTTTTCTTACATAACTCAAAGTTGTTTTTGTCAGTAAAGACTTACTTTGTATAAATATATTTTTTACTTGCCTAAAACCTTTCTTCAGAAGCAATCTCTTGTCAGCATATCTGTTAATGCCAAATTGGAGGAAAATAAACTTTGGACTACCAAAACTAATATCCTGCTAAAGTGTTGCAATCTTCTTTTCAGTAATAATAGGAAGGATGTTTTTTTCCCCCTTTCAGTCACAGCTTCTTGGTTTTAACACCCCAAATCCAGTTTTCCGTTTTTGTGAACTTGGTTACTGTCCAACAAATGTACTTTTCTTTTTTTTTTTTGGTCCGGTCGTGGGGCCTGAACTCTAGGCCTGGGCGCTGTCCCTCAGCTCTTCAGCTCAAGGCTAGCGCTCTACCACTGGAGCCACAGCGCCACTTGCAGCTTTTTTCTTTTTGCTTATGTGGTGCTGAGGAATCAAACCCAGGGCCTCATGCATGCAAGGCAAGCGCTCTACCACTGAGCCACCTTCCCAGCCCCTGTACTTTCCTTTTGATTTGAAAATTCTGTAAATATTGTTTTAAAATCTCCTTTGGAAAAAATAAAAGGAGCATGTGTATCTGTATACCCCCTGTGCTGGGGATTGAACTCAGGGCTCTACATACGTTAAGCAACTGCTCCACCACTGGGCTACATTCTTTACCCTTGACTTTTTGAGACAGGGTCTTCTACCCAGGCTCATCTTGAACTGGAAATCCTCCTGACTTTACCTCCTGAGTACTGAGATTACAGGTGTATGTCATCATGTCCAGGGGGAGACTTGATTTAGGGTTTATAGATTTATTTTCTGATGAAGAGCTAAGCCCTCTGGTATGTGTTACATTATGGTTTTTCACCTTCTAGTGGTATTTGACTACATTGCTTTCAGAGTTTGGCATCATTATTCAGTCAGGAGTAGGAATGGGGTAAGCTTGAGGTTAAGGACTGAATCCTCTCAAGTTCACAGAAAGGAAGAGGTAGGAAGTTACCACTCTTCTACTATTGGGATAAATTTAAGATTCTAAGCCAGATGCTGGTGGCTCACGCCTGTAATCCTAGCTACTCAGGAGACTGAGATCTGAGGATCAGGGTTCAAAGCCAGCCCAGGCAGGAAGGTCCATGAGAATCTTATCTCAAATTAACCACCAAAAAACTGGAAGTGGCACTGTGGCTTAAGTGGTAGAGCACTCACCTTGAGCTGAAGAGCTCGAGGACGGTGCTCAGGCCCAGAGATCAAGCCCCATGACCAACAACAACAAAAAAAAAAAGATTCTAAAATAGATTTGAAAAGGTCATAAAGTTAACACATATTGGGGCTGGGAAGGTAGCTCAGTGGTAGAGTGGTTGCCTCGCATCTATGAGGCCTGGGTTCGATTCCTCAGCATCACATAAGCAGAAAATGCCAGAAGTGGCACTGTGGCTCAAGTGGTAGAGCTCTATCCTTGAGTTGAATTGCTGAGGGACAGCACCCAGGCCCAGAGTTCAGGCCCCACCACTGGCCAAAAAAAAAAAAGTTCCCATATGTCCTAAACTTAATTTCTTTGTTTATACATTAATATGATCTATTTGCACATTAGTTAAATAATCACATACCAATAATTTCCTTAGTTTTTGCCTAGTGTCTTTTTGCTCCTCCAAGATCCCATGCAAGTTATCAGGTTAATTACATTGAGTTGTCCTGACTCTTTAGGGTGCTCTAAACTGGAACAGTTTTGCTCCCTGGTTTTAGTTATTCATCTGTTCATTGTTGTACACTTTTAGCCATATTAAAATATATAGCCATATTATGTCTTCTCAATAACAGAGAGCAGTTAGCTCTGTTTTACAACAGAAGAATTAAGCAGTTTACCCAAGGTTGCATTCTCTGAGCCTCTGAAATCTATGTTACTGTGTGTATGTGTATGTATGTGTATGTGTACGTATGTGTGTGTCTGTGTGTGTATGTACGTGTATTGGTCTTGGAATGTGAATTTGGGACCTGGTCACTATCTACAGGCCTTTTTGCTTAAGGTTAGCACCCTACCACTTGATCAATAACTCCACTTCTGGCATTTTATAAGTCAGTTGGAGATAAGTCTAATGGATTTTCCTGCCCAAATGGGCTTTGAACCATGATCCTCAGATCTCAGCCTCCTGGGGTAGCTAAGATCATAGGCATGAGCCATCTGTACCAGCTTGCATTGCTCTCACTACATTTGCAGCAACTAGCACTGTGAACACTGCATCAGCACACATTTCCATGTCTAAGTAGTTGCTTTTCTCTTTCTCTCTTTTTTTTTTTTTTTTGGGCCAGTATTGGGACTTGAACTCTGGGCCTGAGCACTGTCCCTGAGCTTCTTTTGTTCAAGGCTAGCACTTTACCACTTGAGCTGCAGCACCACTTCCAGCTTTTTCTGTGTATGTGGTACTGAGGAATCGAACTCAGGGCTTCATGCATGCCAGACCAGCACTCTACTACTAAGCCAGATTCCCAGCCTCCATGTCTAAATAGTATTCAGTCAACTTAAGGCTTCCTAATTGGGCACTCTTGACACTTCTGTGCTGTATATTTTGAGATGTTCAGCAACATC